AGATTTCCATGCAGAGTACGGCATCAGGATGAATGAAGTGGCAGTGTCATTCTGATCACTCCCACCCACCCCAGATTTCCTGTTCTCTGCCACCTTACCTATTTCTTCCGATAAGCCTTCTGCCATCTTTCCAGTGAACTGGCTAGCTTTTTCCAAAAAAAATGGGCGTGCGGCACGAGGAAGGGGGTTTTGTGCCCTTCTCCCGGAACGGAAAAAATCAGCCGTCGGAATAGTTGCCTCTGCGGCATTGAAAAATCTTTCTCGAGGGCCATCACCCGCCCGTATCTCCACGATGCTCTGCCCTGTCTTCATGAGTTATTGAAGACATATTATGGGATGACCCATATGGGAGGAGGTATGGGATGACTCACATGAGCGGAACACACAATCCCTACGCCTCCTTCATTATTGTACTGCTTGGAACAAGGGGCGCACCAATGAGACGGCTGAGTGTCCCCGCCCATACGGTTATCGTGGAATAAGCCTTACACAAGAACAACATATTGAAAAGATAGTGATAGAGAATATCAAGGTAGTGTCTAGAAGAGTACCCTTTATACTTACCATATAGGTCGATATCTCGTAAATTGAAGCCATAAATCTTGAATTGAACAGGGGGCGGAAAGTCGTCGAAACTCTGAAAGACATACTTTCGATTAACTTTTCCAGGGCACATTTCCTCTGTTTTGGCTTGGATCTGTTACGAAATGGAACGCTGAGTCTACTTTTATATCTGTATTTATACAGTCATTATCACTGCAAACGAGAGAGCGTGTAAGACGCGTGGACAGTGCGCAGACAGGGGGACTTTTTCACTGGTTTACTACTCTGAGCCTCATAAATTGGTAGAGAAGGTTGTACTGGCCACGGTCCACCCACGGCCCTTAGATGGCCTTCTAGGGGTAATGACTCTACTTTCGTTAAGGTTCAACAAGTTGATCTATAATCTATGGGACTTCATTGAAAAATAGTGACTATATCAGCGGCAGAAGCTCAATATAATTCAAGTTCGTACAGTGACCACCTGAGGGCAGTGAAAGGGGATCCGGAGTACGCTTCCCGTACTACGTCACAGCATCTCCTCCGACAGGGCCGTCGCAGCTACGCCCCTGGGCGGAGCGTTTCCCTCTTTGCAGAAGCACCATCCGGGTGAAGTATGAAGTGTCCGGGGCCGATTCCTAACGTCGCCTTTGGGCCGTGCGCTTTTACGTTTTGCCACGCGAAAGAGAGGGCACCAAGGGGAAAAGAGTGATCCCAGACCCCACTTCCACCGATGCAGTCAACCTAAACGGCTTCCTTGACCCTTTAGTGTTTAGGAGCGCTTATTTAGGCACTTGAGAGGGGTTTGGTTCAGTGGCAAGTTTTTGAGTTCGTCTCGAAACAGGATCACGTGGAATGGGCTAACTGGTACATGGCCCCTTGGCGCGTAATTTTCCGTGCGTTATTCCATTCCCCAAAGGCAATCAGGAACTAGCTCATTTCTTCGCGGTATATTCTGCAGTGTTTTGGAAAAAACCCCCATTTCCATCAATCATGGGAAAACAATCGATGCTCTGTCTGAGAGTCTATCAGACCGCTTGCAGCGTGCCGGTTAAAGAACAACCATCAAAACTTTGTCACTTGACAAGACCACCGAGCCTCAGATGCACTCCTCACATAATCTCAAAAGTTAATGCTGAAGCAAACAAGGTCTGTGATTGGCGCGATTAAAGTTCAAATGTTGACTATACATCTTAAAGAATAATATTATACCTCGTTGAAGAATCTTGCCAATGACAATTGACAGACATTGGGACATTGGGTGGAAAGATGTTGAAGTGCGGCTGCGCCCACCCGCGGGATCGATTAATGATGGCAGAAAGTCCAACTCGAGTACCTGAACAAGACTGGGTAAGAATGCGAATGTGTGGCTCTTCCGCAGAAACACATCAACACCTGAGAGCCATCGTAGCTTTCAGTCTGTAAGTATAAATCACGATTAATCTTCCCATAAATCATCACTCCAATTTTTTTTTTCCCCCGTGAACCTTCCGGAGCGGACATCCAGAGAGAAATACACATTTCCGCAATGAAACGGGTGGTGGAGACTCACAATCGTCTGTGCCCTCTCCTGCAGCCGTCCTCTACCTGGGTGGTTTTCTGTCTTCCTTGATCACTGCCTCGCTCTCTCCTGCACAAGAACACACGCCACACTAATACCATGAGCAAAGGCACCAGTAATACATTGACTCCGCTCCGTAGCGCGGCACTCCCACAGTTCCAGCACACTCTCAGTCCATACGGAACTCTCTAACTCGCAGATCCTAGTCACCAATACTTTAGGATTCCATAGCCTTTTAATTAGATCTGCAATTCGAAACGAACTAGAGAACACGGCGCACACTCACCCGTAATCGTTCTCCGACATAATAGGCGATATCATACAAAGCTTGATCATCGAGTGAACGGCAATGGTTAAGGTAGAGGCAATGAATATTCGGATTTCGTTGCACAAGAAAACGAATTCCAAGGCTGGTAACCTGAAAAGTCCTAATAGGTCATAGTAGCTCACTACTTGTAAGGCGCAGTTCAGCTAGGTGGGGCACTAAATGGTACATAGCGAAACTAGTTCAGGCAACCTTGAGAAGACCTGTAAATTCCTGTAAACTGTGCTACTTCTTTGAATCGACCCCCCTTAAAAAATTCAATTAAATAATAATATAATCAGCCTTCAGAGTGACTTTAAAATCTTGGACTTTGCAACAAAATGCAATGAATTTCTTGAGAATCACGTTTTTATTTTATTTTATTTTATTATATATACCGTTTCGTGGCATCACAGCAGCACACAGGTCTCACCATAGTGCAATCTGATTGAACATGGACCAGCAGAAGTAACTGGCGATGATGCGAAAGCCCCTCCCAGGCCGAACGTTTGTAACATACTGTGGTTAAACGTACTCTGGCACATCCGCTGATATCTACCGTATGCAAGAAAGGGCATTTGACATCTGTGAGACCAGCGTCAGTCAGCTGATACATTGCCCGGAGTTCGAGCTGCAGCAGGTTCTTTTGACCGGAGGT